ACAAGCTGGCAGAGGGTAGATTTAGGCTAGATATCAGGAGGCGCTACTACGGTCAGGGCAGCTAGGATCTGGAACCAACTTCCAAGAGAAGTGGTGCTGGCTCCTACCCTGGGGGTCTTTAAGAGGAGGTTAGATGAACACCTTGCTGGGGTCGTTTGACCCCAGTACTCTTTCCTGCCATGGCAGGGGGTCGGACTAGATGATCTACTCAGGTCCCTTCTGACCCTAGAAACTATGAAACTTTCCTGGTTGTAAAACATGACTTGAAAATTATGCTAGTGACTCAAACCTCAAAGTAATCTTTTATTATTTTAAAGCCCCATGAGGTTTAAGCCAATTTTGTTATTTTTGGATGTCGTGGCTCTTTTTTAACTCCTGGGTACTAACAACACTATTCATGTTTTGAAAATAAAGCCATATAAAACTGGCTTAGTGCAAGCACCAAACCTGCCCCTATAATACCAGTTCTTCACCACCTGCATCCTGCTATTCAGCAAAAGTGTTTTAATTAATTTGTTAGGGTTTCTTCTTTTTAAGTAGAAAAATTGCTAATCGCGCCGTACTTTTGCTATGGAAAAAAAGGGAATCAAGATTAAGGTTACATCTTCAAACTTACTTAATTTATTACATAAACCAGTGCTGAATCTAGCTTCTCTGAGATGAAAGGTAAATGCATCAATCTAGTTTTCCAGTAAGAATAATAAATTTTCACTTGAGTGCGGGGGAGATGTTGTCAATTTACATTTGTATGTGTTTATTTTTTCATACTTGTGTTGAAGAAATTATGGCACAAATTTATTCCTTTCCTTTCTTCCAACTTTCTTATCTGAAAACAGGGATCACACTGATTTTTTTTTTTCATGGATTATTGGACACTCATTGTATATCTAAATCCAAAAAGTAGTAATTATATTGAAAAAGGCAGATGAAAAGCACGGCATTTTCTGCTGAAAGTGTTGAACTTTGATTATTATGTATTTAGGATGGTTTGAAATGCAGAGATGTTTTTATAAACTTATTCAAAGTAAGGAAAGCTGGAGGAGGGCTTGGTGGGTTGATGCGCTAGTTTTCAGTTTTATCTCCATGTTTAGCTCACACAGCAAGAAGAAAAATATTTTTCTCAAGGACATTTCTCAGTGTCAAGTAAAAACTCTGATGTAGAATGACTTTCAGTGTCAGCTGAGGATGGATTTGCAAGTTGGATAGTAGAGTGCTGTGGGAAGAACTGCTCTGCATGGGCAGAGTTCTGTAGGAAGGCCTGCGCTAAGCCTGACCCTTATCAGTGCTACCAATCTGTCATCTTTCATGAACATTAGAGAAACCAACAACTTGAAAAATCCCTTTTCTGTCTCTAAAATTTGTATTGACTGTTATTGTATGTAACAACTAAGGTAACAAGAGCCAAACTAGATTAGAGGAAAGAAAAAATCATTCTCTGTGTCTCTTCCCCGCGACGTTTCACTTTGGCAGCATCTCACACTCTCCCATGATGACATTACTCTCATGGGCTCCTCTGGGATGAGCTCACATCACTACAATACACCAGCAAAATAGCAGCATCTATAAGGTTCATAAGGGCCTTCAGTGAAGAAGAGAAGGGGCCAGAGCAGTTTTGGGGATGATGTTGTTGGTCCTGCCTACTATTCCTTATTGGAAAAACCCGTTCTATTCATCAGCACACGAGTAGAAAAATCCTTGTAGCATTAACAATTAAATATAAATAGACTGTCTGCCATGGTAAGGATGCCTTTATTTTTTTCCAAACAAACTTTTCAAAAGCTATTTAAAAAGGCTAACTATTTTCGAACATTTAAAAGTGTCAGTGCTCCTTTGAATACACTTAATGTATTTAGGGTATATTTACGGTACTAAAATATATTTGAGCCAGACAAAGAAGATCACTTGTCCCAATCCTAGAAAGACCTCTGTTTGGATTTAATGTAGGGGTTCTCCCTATTGAACTCAGTGGCACTACTTGTAGTGTGTGAAACTAAGCACATGCATATTTTTGGGCAGGATCAGGACCTAGGTGTGTAGTAAAACACCCTTATCGTATTATTACAAGCAGTCATTTGTACAAAAAGGGCCAGTGAAGGAAGTGAAATCCAATATTGACTTTGTTGTTGCTGCTGTTCTCTTGCACTTCATTAGAGGCGCCTGTGACTGGATTGCTATTGATTGCCTTTTAAATCTGATTCTGTATTTTAAAAAGTTATAAAGCAAAAATGGACAGTGATGTATATCTACCCTAGGCACCTTTGTCAGGTATAAAGGAAACTGCAATTTATCAATGACTTGTTAATATCCGAAAGGCTGATGACAACCCCACAGGCTCTTGTCCTGCTTGGCACTTAAGTATTTACATTTATTTACATACATGAGTAGGTCCTTGAACACTATTGGGTCATTCATGTGAGTAGAGTAAAATTACACATTTAATGTCTGAAAAATCAGGAACTTAGAAGTTGTTTATGAAGCCAGAAGCTATGATCAGCTAATCAAAACTGAAGGCCAAAAAGTCACAGGTTGGAGACTTGTAAAGATGGTACCAGTTGTAAAAATACCAAAGACTTAGCTACAAAGATGCCATAAATCTTTCAAGAATTGTTTAAAGTGTTTTGCCAGAATCATGTCCAGGTTAATATCCTGCACCCAATTCTGGCCCTACTGAAATTTGGGAGTTTTGCAATTGCCTTTTTTTTGACCAAACAAACATTTTCCAGTTTCTAGCTTTCTCTCAACTTTCTCCACTGTCAGTTATAAAATAAAAAAGGAAATGTGTGTGCCTGCATGCGTGTGTGAAGAGGAGTAGAAGAATACAAAAAACTGTGGTATATTTTTGGTGAAAGGCTTTTTGCAAAATCTGAAAAACTTTTCTTTTGAAACCTATGGAAGTTATTATTGCAAAGTATTTTTTCAGTCAGATCTAATATATGCAGTTTTTATTGATTAAATTATGACTTACTGTTTACTGTGAAAATAATCCTTTAAAAATCATTTGATCACTTAATTCCTAAAGTATTTGGTTACATTAAACCTAAATACTTTATACTATGATTCCTTGATTTTTTAAATGAACAAAGGAAGTGGAGTGCCTTGCTTTGTTCTCTATATATGAGAGAGCATATATTTTTTCCCCCTAGGGCTAGAAATGCTTTAACTGTGGATCTGTTTCAGTTGAACCAAAGGGATTATAAAAGTTCTCTAATAGATTTATTTTTGAAACATTAATGAATGTAAGTTTTTTAAGGAAAACTTAAATACAGGTTGATGACAGTCCTGTTTTATTTCAGCTCTACTGCACTATTTTGTTTTCTGTTAATCTCAAAATAAATCGATAGCCATTTTATTTTCCTTTAGCTTTTCTGGTGGCAGCATGGATTGATTTGAAAAAGAAATGCATAACAAGGAACCAGATGGGACCATGTCAAGGTAGGTTAACTTTTTAGACCTACCCAATTTGACCATGTCCCCTCAGTCTGCATTTCAATGTCCTACTCACAGAATTTTACGAAGAGCTAGATGAACGTCCTCGGAATTCCAATAACGTAAGGAAAGTTTCTCCTTTTTTTTCCCAGTTCCCTTTTGCTGCTGAGACAATGTGGATGTACAGAGTATCTGTTGGTTAGATACTACAGTAGTGAAGCTTTACATATTCCTATTTCTGTCTAATACTTGTTTGTGAAAACAAAAACTGAGTATACATGGTGTAGCTTCTATGACATCTTCATTGCTACAAACACATGACCATGTAGCTGAATTATGGGCTTAAAGCATGTGATTATCTCACACCCATGAAACAAATGGAGCATATCTTACCATAAAATTACTTCAACAGTGACATTTTGAACATAACTACTTCTAATTTTTATGCTTAGAATTTTTTATTACATAGAAAAGTAGAGTTTTAGTGAAAAATAAAAAATTAAAACTGTTTGACTCAAAAACAAAATATTTCATTTAAAAAACACTGACATAGTACCCCAGGACTGTAGTTCAGGTGCCTCATACCCATTCTCCTGGATAAATCAAGCTCCCTGGGTCAGGCTGCTTTTCCTATGATACCAGTGGAGGAGGCAGAGCATTATAGGAGTCACATTTCCATATTGAATGGGAAGTGAATTTGGCTGGGAGAATGATGTCATGAGGCAAAACAAATGCAGCTGTCATGAGTTACTATGTGAGCATGTCCAAATTTGATACCAAATTTGCAACTATCCATAATAACCACATGCATAGAAAAACTGCTTCATGAGTATGCATTTTCCAAATTCCTGAAAGTACAGGACTGGTAATATTTTAATCAAAAGAGCCTACCTTCTCACTTTTCTACACAATAGCAGAAAGTAAATTGCCCTTTGTTCTTTCTCTCTTGTGTTGGATGCAGACTAGTCACCTTGCAGCTGGCTCTGTGATTTTATTCAAAACAAATAGTGTGCCAAAATGAGCCTATTTTTAAATGTATGAACTCCTTATGGAAAAAAATGTTTCAGACTAACAATTTGCTGTGGCCTGTAGAGCTTAACTCATTAATACATATTGCATTCAGATTTCTATAAAGTACTCTGGTTGTTTTAGACCCTCTACCTCTCATTTATGATTTGGTAGAATAGCAATAGTTGGTCCCTTGCCTGTATTTTCAGCTGCAATTTTTCAAAAGTACTGTGATTATAGGACATACAAAAAACTAGAACTCTTGGTTCCAAAATGATACCTTTTATTAGACCAACTGGAAAATGGCAAGAAAATTGTCCTTTTCTGCAAGCTTTCGGGATCAAAGTCCCTTCGTCAGGCTCTGGGAAAAGTGTAGATGGTACGAGATGGTTAAAAGTCCCCATAGGTAGGAAATAAACTTCATTTTTGCATAGAGGGAGCTGAAGATGGAAGGCTCTCCCTCTGGGTCCATGAGAGTGTCTTTGTGAGCTGTGTTGAGTAGCTCTTTGATGTGTCGATTAGGTAGAATTAGGTAAAACAAGTATTAGACACCTGGAGGTGTCAGATGGCAGGCAGGGAGGTTAAAAAAAACTTCCTTGTTGTTCTGCAGTGAAGTTTAAAATCCAAAATCGGCTAAAATTCGGCAACTGCCACTTCATTGCTAGACAATGGGCTAGGGATAGTGATTGGAAACTTGTTCAAATGTACAACACAACAGAAGTTTAGTACATATAAACTGCTTTCAAAATAGCTGAAACCAGTTTAAGATAAACCTGGATGGATGTAGTATCAGTTTTAACCGATTTAGGCTAAATTGGTTTATTGAACTTCTGTCTTAGATCCCCTCCAGATTCAAGTTAACTCACAATCCCTCACCATCCCAGGATGCTTTGGTATCCCAGCATCCTCGGATGTAGTAGTGGATAGCAACTTGGGCAGCAGTGGCCACAAGATGATTGAGTTTAGGATCCTGAGAAAAAGAATGATGGAGAGCACCAGAGTAAGGACTCTGGACTTAGAAAAGCAGACTTTGACTTGCTCAGGGAACTCATGGGCAGGATCCTATGGGAAGCCAGACTGATGGGGAAGAGGAGTCCAGGAGAGTTGGGTGTACTTTAAAGAAGATGTCAGGAGGCAAAACAAATGCAGCTGTCATGAGTTACTATGTGAGCACGTCCATATAGAAGTTTAGGTGTTTGGGCTGAAAATTGAAAACTTTTATGTTGGGCATTTTTTCCTTGCCAAAGATATTTTTTCCATGGAAAAGATCTCTTCCAAAAAAGGGTTTAAAAAAACCTTTCTGCAAGTGCAGGAACAAATCACCCTGATGCACAGGAAGACTAGCAACTATGGCAGAAGACCAGCTTGGCTTAGCAGGGAACTCTTCAGTAAACTAAATCAGATAAAGGAAGCTTATAAGAAGTGGAAACTTGGATGAAGAACTAGAAAAGAGTATAAGAGTATTGCGTGGCCATTCAGGAAGAATTCCTGGATGCATTCGGGAAGGCCAAAGCACAATTGGAGTAGCAGCTATGAAGGGATGTGAAGGGTAACAAGAAGGATTTCTACAAGCATGTTGGTAGCAAGAGGAGGTTCAGGGAAAGTGTGGGTCCCTTACTGAATGGGGGAGGAAACCTTGTGACAGCGGATGCTGAGGGAATTGACTGATGAGATTGCACAGCCACTGGCCATCATCTTTGAAAACTCATGGCGATCAGGAGAGATCCCGGATAATTGAACAATGGCAAACATAGTGCTCACATTTAAAAAGGGGGAACTAGGGAACTACAGAGCAGTCAGCCTCACCTCAGTCCCTGGAAAAATTCTGGAGCAGATCCCCAAGGAATCCATTTCTAAGCACTTGGAGGAGAAGGTGGTGATTAGAAGCAGTCAGCAGGGATTCACCAAGGGCAAGTCATGCCTGACCAACCTGATTGCCTTCCATGATGAGGTGACTGGCTCTGTGCATGCAGGGAGACCAATGGATGTACCTTGACTTTAGCAACATTTTAGATACAGTCTCCCACAACATTCTGGCAGTCAAGCTAAGGAAATACAGGCTGGATAAATTGACTGTAAGGTGGATAGAAAACTGGCTGGAGCATCGGGATCAGAGGTTGGTAATCAATGGCTTGATGTCTAGTTGGCAGCCTGAATCAAGTGGAGTGCCCCAGGGGTCAGTCCTGGGGCCGGTTTTGTTCAGGATGTTCATGAATGGCATGGAAGATGGCATAGAGTACACCCTCAGCCAGTCTGCCGATGACACCAAGCTAGGGGGAGTAATAGATATGCTGGAGGGTAGGGCTAGGATTCAGTGACCTAGACAAATTGGAGGCTTAGGCCAAAAGGAATCTCATGAGGCTGAACAATGATGAGTGCAAAGTCCTGCACTTAGGATGAAACAATCCCATGCACCCAGCCAGTCTGGGGGCTGACTGGCTGGGCAGCAGCTCTGCAGAAAAGGACCTGGGGGTTACAGTGGACGATAAGCTGAATATGAGCCAGCAGTGTGCCCTTGTTGCAAAGAAGACTAACTGCATACTGGGCTGCATTGCTAAGAGTATTGCCAGCAGGTCAAGGGAAGTGATTATTCCCCTCTCTTCAGCACCTGTAATGCCATATCTGGCATACTGTGTTAAGTTTTGGAGTCCCCACTACAGAAAGGATGTGAACAATTTGGAGAGAGTCCAGCAAGGGCAAGAAATGCGGTGAGGGAGCTGAGGCACATGACTTGTGAGGCAAGGTTGAGGGAACTGGGCTTATTTAGTGTGGTGAAGAGAAGACTGAGACAGGATTTAATAGCAGGTGTCAACTACCTGAAGGGAGGTTCGAAAGAGGATGGAGCTAGACTGTTCTCAGTGGTGGCAAATGACAGAACAAGGAGCAATGGTCTCAAGTTGCAGCAAGGGAAGTTTAGGTTAGCTATTAGGAAGAATTTTTTCACTAGGTGGGTAGTAAAACACTGAAACAGAGTACCCAGAGAGATGGTGCAATCTCCATCCTTGAAGGTTGCTAAGACTCAGCTAGACAAAGTTTTGGCTGGGATGATCTAGTTGAGGATGGTCCTGCCTTGAGCAGCAGGTTGGACTAGATGACATCCTGGGGTCCCTTCCAACCCTAATTTTCTATGATTCTATGATTCTCCCTTGCAAACCCCTCCTTGCAGGGTGGGCAGGCTAGCCTTGGCCAATGCTTTCTGCTCCAGCTGAGTAGGGAGGTATACTCTAGCACCCCACCAGCTTCTGGCCTGAGTCACTGCAGGCAAGGTGGCTCCATTTCCAGAATCAAAAGTGAACATCTGTTCACTTGCTTATGGATTCAGTCTATGCAGCTTAGACTAACCTGTGAAGACTGAATCAATTCATCCCTGGGCTTTTGGACTGTCTATACTTAGCATAGATCATTGTTTGTGTCTAGAGCTCCAGGTCTGGAGAGATTTATTCAAGTAACACTTACCTCTGCAAACCAGTTTTGACAACACCTGGAAATGGCAGAAATGTTGTAAAGAAAGAATGAAATAAAACGGGCTGCATTTGTTCCTCTATTAGCCAAATTAAACCCCAAATCATTTACATTATTCTTAAAAAAGGCAAAGTTTGTGTTGGGTAGGAAGAGGGTCAAGTGAAAGAGACCGTGTTGCCTCTTGCCCATAAAAAGAACAGAAAAAAGTTTGCGTAGTTCAGAGTTTTGTTCCAGTCCATTTTCTCAGTTGTGAGGATAAAATATATTCACTATTTTTTCTCAGTAAAATGATCTAAATCTGTAATTGTGGTACCAGTAGTAGATATGGTGGTCTTAGGCTTTGTTTTTTGTTGTTGGTTTTTTTTTTTTTTTTTGAGAGGCCTCATTACATGAAGTCTCTGTAGAGTTTAAGCAGACATTTTAATAACACATGTATTTATGGTTTATTGCATATAAAAAAAATGGCTTCTCTAAAAATCACCAGCCAGCACCATGTGATTACCTATTGATCTGAATTACCATCCACACACAGAGAC